GGGCGGGTCCCCTCCTACCTGGGTGTAGTTTGTGACCATACACACGTCCTTTCTGTTCCCTCCCCTGCTGCCTCCTTCCATGTCTGGTTGGCTTATGCATCTCAACCCTAGTTAGAGAAATGTTCACACAAGGCTGGAGTAAAGATATAGAGGCAGAGACAGAGCAGTCATACACACCTACCCTCCCCAACTTCTTTAAATGGAATAAAAATATCTTCCTATTATGTTCTCTTTCCCTTTATATTTCAGTTGCCTGGTTGACTTGGTTGCCCTGTTTTGTTCTGATAGTCACTGAGATTTGTGGTCTTTACAGACCCAGCTGGTTCCCTTTCACTATGATTAACTCTATCTTCTTTTTGATGTTCAAATTGTCACAGTCTGGCCAGCGAGCGTCCTTTTGAGCTGGCTCCTACGCCTCATCACTTCTACCCCAGACCATTGGGAGCGGCTTTGCTTTCTTGCAAGTTGGCGTTGTAGGTCCATCTTGATTCTTTCTGCCTTCACACAGGGAAGCAGCCGCTCCCCGTGGAGCCCTGTTGAGGTTTATTTCAAATCTAGGCACCAGACCTGTGCTGGTTGGTGATGGGTGAAGGGGTGTCCTTGTTGGGCCACTTTCTTGTCAGAGCTGGAAATAACATTTCTTTTTACTGTCACCATATCACATTGATATTTTCTGTTTAACTCTTACTTTCCTAATCATTATAAAAATTTTTTTCTTAAAAACACCTTTTTGTCTTCTCTGTTAGATGCCCCCAGCATGAGTGTTTAACTCCTTTAATTGTTTCCTTTCTTCTTCTTTTTCCTTTCAAATTTTATTTGTAAATAACCTTTGGATGTTTTCCCAATGATTGATGGCGTGGAAAAGGCTTTAAGGGGGACCGTGCCTGGTTTATATCCGGATTTTCTTGGTGTTTGCTGAGCGATCCTGGGCAAGCCACTTAAACCTTCGGAGCCCCTTCCCTTGTAGATGCGATGTCAGGGTTGGCTGGCGGGAAACCATTAGGTAGCAGGGGTCTGAGGACTAAGTGAGATGGGAAATGCTGAATGCCTGGTATGTAGCCAGCATTTCCTAAATGGTGTTGGATGAGGCTGAGGGTAAGTGGGAGGTGGCTGACACGTGGCAGTGAGGCTTTTCTGAGTCTGCTCCTGGGACCTGCCTCTGTTCCTGGCTCTCACAGGGAGGAGCAGTGATGGGGCGCCCAGGACCACGTGGGGAGGAGCTAGCTGGCTTTTCAGGTGCAGTGAGCCTGGGCCAAGGGAGGAGTCAGTTGGAGGAAGGCAGATAGGCCTGGATTTTAATCTCAGAACCATCTCCGCAGAGCTGATGGATGACTTTATCCTCCTGAGCCTATAAAAGGGAGTTTTGGCGTAGATGTTCACTTTGAAGCGGCTCAAAGCCTATAACATTCACCCACAAAGGGTGCTGTTCTCTTTGTGCTTATAGACACACTCTCTGTTTTCTTTCTTTCCATTTTCTTAAAAAGTAAATTGGATCTGTGCAGTCTGCGGACTGTGGTGTAAATTGGGCTCGGTAATGCGTTACTGTGGAGAAGTGCCTCCCTCCCCACCCCCACCCACTGTCACTCCTGCTCAGCACTGTGAACTCAATGCCTTTGAATTAATTATGCTGGGAAAAGCTAATACATGATGTTTCTACCTCATTTCCCTAATTATAGCCTAGAAAATTGTCCTCTCTTTTTAATAGCTCATCCTGGCTTATTTCCTATTTTAAAGGATTAGAGTGATGGAGATGATTCCAACTAACATTTACTGCAAACTCACTTTGTCCCAGGCTCTGTGCTAAGTTGTGCTGCTGTGCATTCATAAATTAAAGCCTTGCCCTGTCTGTTCGGCAGGTAGTGCAATCACTCCATTTGTACAGATAAGACTCAGGTGTCTAAGGAGGTCACGGAGATGGCAAATGAGGAGCCTGGACCAAACCTCGGGCCTTCTGACTCCAAAAGCCCATGCTCTTAACTATGCAATTAAATTGCCTGCCGTTAGTCGGTCCATCCTTCCATCCGTTCATCCATCCATTTTTTTTGTTTTTATGGTGATTTAGTATGAATAGATTATTCAAATACATTCATAGCACAGCTAGGTTAATGTGCCACACCATTGTCTAAGGCACTTCTGGCCTCACCCAACTTCCTGTGGTGCTTTGTGGAGTTTGCATTTCCTGTTCCTTTATTGCAATTTCAATCTGCAAATTCATATTGGACGCCCCCCCAACCCCACCCTTCCACCCACCCACCCACCAGACATACTGGATTGAACCTGTTGAACATGCTGGATTTTGAGGCATCTGTTAGCTATTGATTGGTTTACTTATCCCCTTTAGAAATACCTTAAGGGACTTGAAACAAATAAAACCTAAGCAGACGTTGGAACACCAACCTCTGCCTACCTGTCACGAGGAATGACATCTGAGAGGGCCGCTCCATGGTCTGCTGTGGGGTGGTTGAGAGGTGCCATCATGGCCAGAGAGAGACATGATAAAAGACCAAAGGGAGAGCGAATGGGGGCAGTTATAGCAGGAATTAAAATTATTATCTGCTGACTTTAAGTAGGCAGATGTCCTAGAAAACTTGAAATGTGTATCTAAGTTAGGGTCAAGGAGGGAGGCAGTGGAGTGTGAACTCTACTTTGAGCAGGAAAAATTTGGAGCTAGGTTCGGGACGTCTGGAGGCAGAAGAGGCCAGAGGGGCGCAGGTCCTCCAGGGTGTAGGGGACAGCCCGGGGGACAGCTCACCCAGAGACAGCGCCATCCCCTTGCCTCCTACATTTTCTGAACTTTCCCGAAAGCCTGTTTACAACTCACCAGCTGTCTTTCACTTTCCTTTCCTCTCTGAGACTTGAAGAGGTTCTGCTACTCGATGGTACTGCGGGGACAGGAACCCCATACAGCACGGACAGGACCTGCTCTCGAAGTGTAAGGCTGGGTGGGCTAAATGGTCGAGTCAGCCACGTGGCAAGTGGGAAGGTCTGCTTGTGACACCCTGTCCTGGTGTGCAGACATAGCTTGGGCAAGAGACACAGAGCCCTAAGGTGAAGAGAGGGTACCCCAGAGCTGGGAGGGGCTTCTGGAACACAGAGGAGGGGGTACAAAGCTAGCTTTGGGGACCTTACAACACAGCATTAAGGGCTGCTTGGCTTCCAATGATTTAGGAAAGTTGAGATAGATTTATATATAGTAGAGATTCTGTCCAAGATTTTATATATACTTTACATACACATCATATATATAGTGTGTGTCTGTGTGTGTGTATATATATATATTCATATATATATATATGGTGTTTATGTACATATATGTATATGTACATAGTTTTCTTCTTAATGTTCTACTAACACACACAGACATATAAACATATACACACTTTCTGTAATCTCCGCTCCCCCCACCTTCCAGAATCCATCCATCCATCTTACTGAAGAGCCTTGCCATTCAAAGTAGGGTCTGGGGACCAGCAGCATTGCCGTCCTGTGGAAGCTTGTTAGGAATGCAGAGTCTTGCCCCCCTCCCCCGCATTAGAATTTGCATGTCAACAAGAGCTCCCGCCAATGATTCACATGGCAGCTGGGGCAGCCCTGCCCTAGAGGGATGCCTTTTCCTACAAGGTTATTAATTGGGGCATTATATGCCATTGGAGGAATAAAGGGAAACTGCCTGTTTGGTCCCTGTGGAAGGACAGAAGCATGGCCTCCCAGCGGGGGTAAAGGGACCTTTCACTGTTACTCGTTTGCGAATTAGACAGCCTTGAGTAGAAAGTAAAGAGGAAGACTGAACCAAGGCCACACCGCTGCCCTTGACAGCAACATACAGTTACAGCGCTCTGCCAGCGGGCCAGTGGGGTTCTGTAGTAGTTTTGTTTTCTGGCAGCGGTTTTCAGCCCAGATATTTTTGCCCCTCTTGGGACATTTGGCGGCATCTGGTTGGTTTTCTCATCTTCAGGGAGAGAGGGTAGTACTTCTGGCATCTAAGTGGGTCGAGCCAGGGATGCTGTTCGACATCTTACAAGGCTCAGGACAGGCTCACTGCAAAGAATGTGACCCTAGAGGTGGTCCTTGCCGAGTATCAGAAATCCTGCTGTAGAGGATGGATTTTAACCCACAGTGAGTCTAAAATCTGCCTAATTATTCAGTAGCTCATTGTTATGAGATACTTGAAACACTTAGAGCTACTAAATGTTAACTCCGTTGTTTTTTTTTTAAGGAAATAAAACATTATAGATGCATTTGTAAGGACAGTTTCAAAGCTCCATTCCCTCACTCCTTCCCCCGAGGCAACCGCCTTCCTGCAGGTGGACCATTCCCTCCTGGTGCATAATTTTGGACTTTGATCACACATGTTGAGTGTCCATCAAACAGTAGACCGTATTGTATGGGCCCCCTTTGCAATGGCATTCTCCTCTGTTTGTATGTTGCAGGCTATTTTTCCAGAAGTTTCAGCAAAGGCATGAGCAGAGAGCACTACTGTGTCTAAATGAAAACGGTTCCATTTTCTAAATAATGTACATTTCTTTTTGGTGGCGGTCAAAAAGCAAAAATTTTTTTTTTTGGTCAAAAATTTTAAGAAAAGATGTTTAATGTCTTAAATTAGGCTGAGGAAAGAACACCAGAAGTAATGCTTGCAGATTCTAAAAGGGGGCATTTTTCAAATGCAGACTCTGTAGTGGCCCAGAATCTAGCACATAAACTTGTCCTGACATCTGTTGGAGGCGATGATGGTGATAAGGCCTCGCCCCCCACCCCCTCCACCTGCCTGCACCCTCATGCCTCCCTGAGTGGCACCTCTCAGCCCCTGTTCTCAGCATCTTTGGAAGGCATTGCCTCCATCTCTGCATCATTTTTCAGAGCCGGCCAGTTTCTATGGCAACTGATAGATTGAAAGATGAGCGGCGAGCAGGAGGTGAGGCTCGAGTGAGATCTCAGGGTGGTGGTGTGTGTCCCTGACGTCACCCTCCACAAGCCTGGATAGGATGATTCTGGCTACTCCCATTCAGGACTGCTGGCCGCTTTATTTGCAGGGCTGCCAGGGTCTCTGCAAATTGCCTCCTTTTCTGCTTCTCCTACCCCTGCTTTCCCCCGGATTTTTCTTCTCACTGCCCCTTTTCTGTTTTGGCTCCAGACGATCGTTAAGAATGCTCATGTTAATTCTGGTGTGTTTTGAGAGGCTCCCCTACCCCGTGTTCCAGAAGGGCAGGGAGGCATGGCAGCGTTATACTTGACGCGGATAGCGCTGTGAAGTCCCTTCTGTCCTCTGCAAGAATACTGACTATGCAGAAATTTATCGAAGCGGATTATTATGAACTAGACTGGTATTATGAAGAATGCTCAGACGGTAATTATGGCCCCCGCAAAACAGGGCTGTGGGGGAGCATTGTCTTCCGGGAGGCGGGGGAGGGTGTCCTGAAACCTTTCCAGGGAGATGGGCAGGAGGAGGGGACAGAGGAACCCACACCGCCCGCCTGCAGACATGCGTGGCTCTGACAGTTTCCAAGGCTTGGTGGAGGACGGCAGGTGGGCAGGGCTCATTCCCGTGGGAGACTCCTCTGCGGTTGTCCGGTCTTCGCCCAGAAGGGGAGA